CACGGCATGGGACACCACAAATGGGCTTCACACATTGTACCCATATGGGGGATCGAACCCGGGTCTTTGGCGTGACGAGTGAATGCTTTAACCACTAGGCTACCCCATCGACCCAGTTGCACAGGAGGTGAGGCATGATGCTATACAACAGAAGTGTTCAAATGGAACATATGTTATACTCAGGATTTATTACATTTTCTCAGTACAGATAGCTCTCGTCTTAGTCGTGCAAAAAGTGATCTTGACAACCAGTTGTCAGACTTCCACAGGGTGCTCAGTGAATTCTCAGAAGAGTTTCAATTCAAGTTCTAGAATCTGTACTTTACTGAGAAAGTGTAGTCCAAACATAAAATATGTTTGATTTGACAACTGTCTAAATGGCCATATGTATTCACTGTTTTCGTCTATAGGAGCCATGCCAAGAGAATAGTACACGAAGAATATCATCTGGACTATCGTTGTCAGAGTTCCATGTTAATGGAAGCTTCAGTGGCTGAGCGGGTTAAATCACCCACTGTGTGTCCTGGCAATTAGGTGCCAGAAACTGAGTGTGTGGGTTTGAATCCCGGAATTCAAATTAAAACAAGTGAGTGAGTGAGTGAGTGGTTTTATGCTGCGTTTAGCAATATTCCAGCAATATCACGGCACAGGACACCAGAAATGGGTTTTCTGCAGTGTACACATGTGGGAAATGGAACCCAGGTCTTCGGAGTGAGGAGTGGACGCTTTAACATGGGTGGAAATAACTTTAAAATTGCTAGTGTACTCCGGTACAGTGGCACATGTAAAGTCACTTGCCCTGATAATTTTTCCACTATACCGGCCTATTTTCTTGTTGATTTCTTAAATACACAGCATAATTAACATTGGAAAGTCAACTGGACACGGTACAGCATTATATACAAATTTGCATGCCTGACAGAAAAAAACACTGGACTCCGACGACGGGCAATGGGTTATTTCCACCCCTGCTTTAACCACAAGGCTACCCCACCGCCCTGAGAAAGTGGAATCCTAAATATAAAACATGTTACACAATGCTTCTGTTTGTCCCTTGGACTGAGGTCCAGGATGACAAGCAGGTTGTTGTTTACACAGTAACGAGACTGTCCAGGACATCAACAACACTATCAGTGAGAGTTATCTCCAGTGAGAGCTGAGCACAGGTTACAGCATCTATACCCCAGGTGCTCTCTAGCTAGGTCAGCCAGTTGGTAGTGAAACAGAGTGATGGGAGGCTGAGAGGGTCAGATAACAGTACAGGGCAACAAGTGCAGTTGGAGACAGAGTAAGAGTCTGTAAGTGAGTGAGTGAGTGCAGTTAGTGACAGTGAATGCAGTGAGTGACAGTGAATGCAGTTAGTGAGAGTCGAAGAATGCAGTTAGTGAGAAAATGCAGTTAGTGACTGAGAGAATGCAGTTAGTGACTGAAAGAATGCAGTTTTGGCTGAGAGAATGCAGTTAGTGACAGTAAATGCAGTTAGTGGCAGTGAATGCAGTTAGTGACAGTGAATGCAGTGAGTGACAGTGAATGCAGTTAGTGAGAGTCAAAGAATGCAGTTTTGACAGTGAATGCAGTTAGTGAGAGTCAAAGAATGCAGTTTTGAGAAAATGCAGTTGAGAAAGTGAGTTAGCGAGAATGCAGTTAGTGACTGAGAATGCAGTTAGTGACTGAGAGAATGCAGTTAGTGACAGTGAATGCACTTAGAGAGTCAAAGAATGCAGTTAGTGACAGCGACTGAATGCAGTTAGTGACAGTGAATGCAGTTAGTGACAGTCAAAGAATGCTGTTTTTGAGAAAATGCAGTTAGTGACTGAGAGAATGCAGTTAGTGACTGAAAGAATGCAGTTAGTGACTGAGAATGCAGTTAGTGTCAATGAATGCAGTTAGTGACAGTGAATGCAGTTAGTGACAGAGAATGCAGTTAGTGAGTGAAAGAATGCAGTTAGTGAGTGAAAGAATGCAGTTTTGACAATGAATGCAGTTAGTGACAGTCAAAGAATGCAGTTTTGAGAAAATGCAGTTAGTGACTGAGAGAATGCAGTTAGTGACTGAGAGAATGCAGTTAGTGACAGTGAATGCAGTTAGTGACAGTGAATGCAGTTAGTGAGAGTCAAAGAATGCAGTTTTTGAGAAAATGCAGTTAGCGACTGAGAGAATGCAGTTAGTGACTGAAAGAATGCAATATAGTGGCTGAGAGAATGCAGTTAGTGACAGTGAATGCAGTTAGTGACAGTGAATGCAGTGAGTGACAGTGAATGCAGTTAGCAAGTTAGTGAGGTGAGGTGAGGTGAAATTGGGTTTAACGTCGTGCTTGAGAATATTTCGCTCATATGACGACGAGCATGCGTGTGTATGTGTATATGCGGCTGCTTGTACTAGCCCAGACTTAAGCTGGTTTTATAGTGCTAGCCCACTGAGATACCATGCCGCAGTGAAGCATGAATACCCCACTCAGACACATTATACTGACTCTGAGCCGACCAGTCCTTGTTGTACCCATTAATGCCGAGCGCCAGGCAGGGACCAACAAGTACCATATTTTAACGTCTTTTGGTATGACGCGGTCGAGGATCGAACCCGCGACCTTCCGCTCTCCAGGGCGGACGCTCTAACCACTACACCACGGAGGCGGTCAGCAAGTTAGTAGTTAAGAGAATGGGTAAATACATTTAGTGACTGAATGCAGTGAGTGAGTGAGTGAGTGAGTGAGTGAGTGAGTGAGTTTAGTTTTACGCCGCACTCAGCAATATTCCAACTTGGTTGACACATGTCATCATATCCCAACTGCGTAATTTGATGCTCATGCTGTTGATCACTGGATTGTCTGGTCAAGACCGGATTATTTAGGGATTGTCGCCATATAGCTGGAATACTGCCGAGTGTGGCGTTAAACTAAACTCACTCACTATTTTCTACATACAAAGGCCCTAAAAGCAAATATGGCTCTGATGACATCCATCTACAGTATCCCTGATATAGTTGGGATACTTTGATTTTTATACAATTCTTAGCACATAATGTATGCTGTAATGTCAATTAGCTATGAAGGAAAACATTAGAGGTGAATGAAACTCTGTGTAGATTTCACTTAAACCATACAGATAATGACAAACTTGTTATAATGTTTTACCCAAAACTCATCTCTTCAGAATGTCAGATCCAGATGACTAGTTTCATCTCAAGTGACTATGCTTTTAATTCTGTGTGCTTTGAGCATTTACTGTGAATGGAAATAGCGCGGTACAAATGGACTATAATAATAATATAATAATATACTGGTTTTCAGAAAAAATATCGCAATACGTTTCATTTGAAAAGCTTATTGCTGTTTACTGGTAAAACAATGCAGTCCCACCAAAACAGTCCCACCATACAGCTATCTTTAAAATACATGCTGTCCGCTGGACCGAGACAACTAAATTGTTCTAAGGTCAAGAGAAAATCCAATGATGTGGGTTCTCAGCATTTCTGGTTTATAATTCTGAACCAGTTCCCAATGGTTCACTACTTATATAATTTGGAACCAGGAAGTGTTTTTACTCACAGGCCCTCCATCATCTATTTTGGTAAATTAGTTCAAGATGTTACTGTAAATGAGTACTTAAACTGAAAAACAGTCAAAGACTTTCCTCATAAAAAAACACATTGCTGCCCTATCTTTTAAATTTGAAAAATTAATTAAAAGATGCTACAGATAATGTGCTCGCAAAGCTGGGAAAAAATGAGTGAGTGAGTGAGTGAGTGAGTGAGTGAGTGAGTGAGTGAGAGTGGGTTTGGTTCTACGCCGCTTTCAGCAATATTCCAGCAATATCATGGCGTGGAACACAAGAAATGAGGTTTTACATATTTTACCAATATGGGGAATCAAACCTGGGTCCTCGGCGTGACAAGCAAACACTTTAACCACTAAGCTACACCCTCGCCCCGGAAAATAGTACTAGCAAATAATAGCTTGGTAATATCATGATTTCATGCATGATTTCACATTCAGTGATCACCAGTACCGCATGGCCGATATAACAAATACAACTTACATGAGTCTTTCTCTGACACCATAATACAAAAATGAAAATTGTCAAAATAAAATTGAAAATATGAAAAAACAATAGAGCATGTGGTCATTATACAAGAATAGTTTTGTGCAACACTATTCCTGGTCTGAGAGTAGTGGCTCAGCAGTCATCTCTGCAGTTATTCAAGACAATTAAAATTTAGAATATAAAATTTAGAAAAATATCAGAACTGCAAAAATTCCAAAGAACATTATGCTACAATTGACCATTTTCTAAATGGCATTGTGTATTCAGACATTCTGAGCGCTGCTTTTGCCAAATTCCACTGAAGTATGCTGAACAGTTTTCAAGTTTTTTTTGCTTTGAAATGAATCCTGCCAACTACAGATCTAGAGCTACAAAGTGATTACATGAGAACATTTCCCACTGGTTGGTCTCGTAAGCAATCAAATTTCTAAACATATGCACATCATTCAAAAACGTGAATTTCCACTACCCTAAGAATACTTTTCACATAAACACATAACTAGTTGGTGCCATATCACAACCCTGAGGCAGATCCAGGATTTGGGAGAAGGGAGGGGGGTGCACATAAATCATGAAGTCCAAAGGTTAGGGGGAAAAGCTCCTCAGGGAATTATTTTTTCAGGGGAGGGTGTGTGTGTGTGTGTGTGTGTGTGTGTGCATCCCCCCCCTATGGATCCACCTCTTCAACCCATGTTGACAATTCCGGACCTGGCTTCTGCGTACTTAAATTCAGTGTTAACCCAAATTAAGTTCCATTTATTTCAATCTAGGCTGTGATGTCCCATTCTGCCACCCTCAATGTCCCCGCTCCACCCCGGCAGCCTGGGGTATCCAGTACAGTGTGAGAGGGTACACCAGCCCTGCTGGGTAGACAGAGCCAGCCTACCTGATCTAGGCCAGTGATAGCTCCAACCTTGCATAATACTTGTTGCACTGAGCCAGGCTGCTACTCTTACACTGAGTGACTCTACTGGGGCCTATAAGTACTGGGGTCCACCAACTGCCTGCTCATTATCTACCTGAACAACGTCCAGTCTGGTCGCTGGTCACTGAAGCTCCACACCGAAGCCTCACACACTCGTCACAGACAGCTGTTGCACACACTTTTCCATCATTCACAGAAGAAATTGGAACAGGTTTTCATTGAAGAATCACCACTGAAATTTATTCACCGTTCCTGATATTGTAATTGAAGACTCCAAGACTCAGAGACTCCTACTTTGTATCCTGTGTTGCCGAGTGGTCATGATGTTGTCTCTGTGGCTGACCGAGGTATTCCCACTGGTAGCAAGCACCCATGTCAGAATGGAAGGGGACATCCCAACTTCCTACCTGACGGCGCCGTCGCCCCCCCTCATGCCAACGACTACCCACACCCTGCTGTCAGTACTCCTCTGCTTGGCACTGACCATGGGCTATCTGGTGTTTGTAGGAATGGCCATTCAGTACGGTCGGGTTCGGCCAACGTCAGGACTCTGTCTGCAGTTGCTGTTGCTGACAATATTCTCACCGATACTGTCGACGGTGTTGCCGAGCATGCTGCTGAGTGCCACGTTCCTCGTCATCGTCATCTACTACATGTACCAGAATCTACCGCCAGCATATCTTGGTGTCCAAGGAAAGGCAGTTCTCATTACTGGTAAGTCTTAATTCATGGCACTAACTGTTGTTATAAACTAACAGTAGTTTTAATTAATGATTTTCATAGTTTACCCAAATATTTTTCTGGGGGTTGTTGAAATGAAAATATAACAATATCAGGCTCAGTGTTTAAACTTATGCAGCATGAAAAATAGTTGTAAGGTTAGTATGAAAATTAAAAGCTAGTATAGTCTAAATTATAGTTGGTTTGCCGAGGTTTTCTTTATATCCTCAACTTCCAGAACAATGAACAATGCATCTGATCAAAAATGTATTTTGTCAAATCATGCTATGATATTGTAGTGTTCGATTTGTTCTAATCAATCAAAGATTGAATGCTTGGATTAAAAACTATGGTTTAAAGTTTCAATTTATGAAATTAAATTTGACAAAGCTGACTAAAATCTGTGATTATTGCAACATAACTTGTCAAACATGCATTGAAGCCAAATTTCTAAGATTCCAAATCACTGATAAATCTCTACTGTAAATCTTTATAGCGATTCAAAATGTTCAGTGAAATTTGTATTTCACCATATTCATTGCCAGTAGTAAAACTGATAGTCCAAGCAGAGAGTATATGAGGCCTCAATGGTAAAACATGCTTAATCAAAACAATCCAATTAATTTGTCAGCCCAGAGGATGATATTTACCCTCAAATTTGCAGATTCCCAAATTTGAATTTAAAAATTCCCTCATCATATTGCTACAGTTCTGTCACCATGGAGATGGTTTCTTATTTCACCTTTAGGAGAACCAATAAAAATTGGAGTCTTTAATGCGACATTATTGCTAAATACACAGTAAAAATATATCTAAATTTAAAAAAACATGAACTTTAGAAAATACTCAATTTTGTACAAGGTTAATGAAAATGATGATCAATTTTGTACAAGGTTAATGAAAATGATGATGATGGCGATGATGATGATAGCAGAAGTTCCTGAATGATATCAAAGGCAAAATAATCACTCACATGTGCTGCAAAATTAACGGGGAAAAAACTTCCAAATTTCAAATAGTGAGACTGACAATCTTAGAAACCATTCTACTTAATATACACTTGACATGTGAGAATCATTTTTGACATAGAAACATAAAAATATGTCTGTAAATGTGCAATAGTGTCGAAGCCTATCCTCAAACCCATCTACTGTAGTAAGTGTGTGTACTCGACTCTCCTAGTTCTACCGTTTACATACAGCACCGACTCCCCGTGTGAAACCACAACCACAAGCCCACAAGATTACAACCATTATGTAATTACACCTCCGACAGGTAGAGCCGCAGTGATGAAATGCATCGTTCGTCTTCAGTGTACCAAGTCTTAAGTGTGATTTATACAACCAGGGATTTACGGGACACGAATTCCTGCGTCTTATACACATAAAAATTGACAATGGACACAACAACATTTATTATCGCGTCCACAGGGACTTAGAAAAAGTCCAAATACTTTTTGCAAAAATTCCAATCAAGTGACAATAAGTTATGACTGAGTTTGTTCTAGCTGAGTTATGATATCATTTGCGATTAAATTACTGTAACAATGTAAGTGATGATCATGATGCACAATACAATAATTATCAATAATAATATTTAAGTGTCTGGGATCCCCATTTTGTTGTCCAGGACCCCTGAAAATTATAAGCATGAGTCCCAGGTACCCCCAAATACAGGACTCAAGGTAAATCCCTAATACAACTTAAAAGAATATAAGGACTAGTGTTGGGAATTGGTTAAAATCTCATAATTGATGATTGGTTCATTACCACCGATCAACCATCGAAAATAATTGGTTAGCGTCATTTATGAAATGTGTTAATGCACACAAAAAGGAAAAAAACGTAGTTATTTTGGATATTCTTTTGCAAAATTTCACATCTTTAAAGGATGACTAGTATGTTAGGAACATAACTTTTTTGGTGTCTTTAAGATAAATTCAATCATGACTTGGAACGAGCTTGTAATGTTTATGAAATGTAATAGACAAAACCAACCTTGTGAAAAATATTGTTAATGAAAACAAGTTTTCCAGAATTGTTTGTGTTCGATTATGAGAAAACATGATCGATTGCTTGGTCGTTTAGTCACTGCGACCAATCTTCAATTATTTCAATTAATCGGACCACCACTAATAAGGACAAATCATTTTTGTTTATACATGTATTAATCTGGTTAGTTTGATAAAATGACAGAGAAAAACAATTGCAATAGTGTGAATAATTTACTGATCAGTATTTTTTAGTTGGATATAACATTGTATTTGTGGCGTCATAAAACAGCCAAGTCTTGTAAGTTACAAAACAATAATTCAGTTTCAAAACTTAAATTTGAATTTGCTATCATACAAATTAATTAACATCATTAAACTGTGGACCCTCTCAGATCCATCAGAATAAAGATGAAGACGCCTTCTCAATATAATCAAATGAATAGGGGTGGGTATTGCAGAGAATTTTCATATTGCGATATATTGCGATGCAAAAGCGTATATCGCGATATGTATTGCAATATATTGCAAGGTTTTTTTCAACAAAAAACTACTTATAATCGAGTTAATGCTTCATTTATAAAGCAAAAACACTACAAAATCACTATGCTTGATTAAGATTTAATAAAAACTTTTAATCATGACAAAAAACAAATGTAAATAATATTTGGCACAAATAAAAGGAAAGGAAACACTTAAAAAACGGAAATATCCGAAGATTTCCGAGTGTGACAAAGTTTTCCGAATGCATGTCAAAATACCGGTTTTCGATCAGAGTATCGCAATACATATCGTTTTCATGTCTGAACCGGTAAATACCGATAAACCGGTTATATTGAGCAGCACTACAAATGAATATGTTGGGTAGATGACGAATTAGAAAAGTTAAAACCCTTTAAAGGCTCGATGAAATTCAAATTGAAGTACCTTTAAAATAGGATCCACTTTTAAGAGGTACATTAGTTTTCTTATGCTTCAACAGAACACATTAACACATGCTTGTTTGAAAAATTAATGTTGTTAAACAAATGAAACTATGGAATGTTTCATCAACAAGAAAAAAACACCAAGGCAACTCAGGAAAATAGCGTCACATTATAGCCTCCAACAAACCCAACAACCCTTCCAGAACAAATCCAGCATCATGTCATTTTAAGGTCGTTGAGCAAGATTTTCGAGAGACAAGTTCACATCACCTGTTCTGGTCCTGCTTCATCCTTCACGGCTGTGACGGATGTCACACCGAAATAAACACAGGTCACAGTTCTGTGTCACAACAGCTACAACAACAGCTACCACATCATCTGCTACATCAGTTGACTACACCGTCTGTAGCAACATTCCAGCAACATCACGGCGGGGGACTCACACATTGTACCCATACAGGGAATCGAACCCGAGTCTTCAGCCAATACTTTAACCACCACCCCCACCCCACCCCAAAACAGACAAACCTAAATATTTTATGCCTAATTCTGTCATCAGCGGTTATGACAATTATTATGACAAAAATAACATAATGAAAAATTAATTATTTTTGTACAGTTCTCAAATAATTAGAAAAATGCAACAACTTTTTTAAATAAGTAAGGCCTACAGCTTAAAAAGTCATGTCATTTCATTCCAAAACATAAAACATTCTTGAAATATAATTCAAGCTCTTGTCAATACAATACTGGTATAACAAGTAGGAACCAGTCCAGTATGGCTTGAAACACAACATCAGTAAACATGGACGTTGGCAAGACCGCATATCATAAATTTTAGATGCAAATAACACTGGGGTCCATTTGACAAAATAATCCTGGCGCTAAAACCCCTTGTATCTGCCCTACTTTAAGGCAGGAATTCTGGCAGCAGAAGCTTGACATCCCCTGTGGAATGAGAACAAGTCTTCAGGCTGTATTCCTCAGATGTTAGAAATTCCATCAATAAACATGTTCTCAGATGTACAAACTCTTGTTTTGAAATCCAAAATACATATGTTTCAAGTCCATCTTGGATATCAATGTTTGAAATTCATGCTAGACCACAAGCCCATGACAACTAAACTGTGGAATAATCCATGGTAATTCTCACTGACCAATAGAATTAAAAAATATGATTCTGAACCAGTTCTCAGTTCTTCAGTTCTGCACAAATTGGAACAGAACAAAACTGACAGACAATATAGACACAAATAATTTTGTCTCTCTCGAGCAGGACAGCACAAAGACTGAGGACTTGTGGTAATTTATGTGTCCATGAGCATTTAAAATATGAATTTCAAAGGGTATCAGGGGTAGGTCACTATTTATATCAGTCTTGGACCCGTGTAGATTTGATCTTCAGCAACCCATGCTTGTTGTAAAAGGCGACTAACGGGAGCAGGTGGTCAGGCTCATCGACTTGGTTGACACGTCATCAATTGCGTAGATCGATGCTCATGCTGTTGATCACTGGATTGTCTGGTCCAGACTCTATTACTTACTAGTATATATATATGACTAGTACCTTAACACCATTTATCCTATTTCTAGGACCAGCAAGTTCTGTCCCTGGCAGTGTTGCCTTTAAAGCATGTGTAAGACGGCCAATCCACAGCAAACACACCTCACAAAAGCTTAATGAGTGCAAAGTCTAATTAATCCCCTAAGCAGGAGAGGACTTTAATGCATTGTACGTCTATTTACTCCCGAATAGCTAAGCTGAAGTAGAAAGGTTACTCGGTGCAAACTCAGTAGCGATCCTCTACCCGAGTTATCCCAAGTTTGGCAAAAACTCTGTAAATACGAGGGAAAGGGCCGATTAAGCTGAGAGGTCAACGAGTGCATTTTGCTGCATCAGTCCTAATGCATTATGGGAGCTGTAGATCGTTTGCAAGGTGAAGGCGTAATATAGAACATGACATTATTATTGAATTTTTAAGAAATTAAGTTTTGAATAAATTATTAAATTAAAACTCACAAATTTTACAACTTGAAGAGTTACTTGATGGATCCCTAAATTTAATCTTTACAATAAATATCACAATTCACAGCCGCAATTCACACAACAAACCAAAACAGTTATAAATAGCTCTCACTGAATTAAAATTAGCACACTGCAATGACATTTAAAATCAGAAGCCAAATTTAAATTGATTGTAATCCACACTATCATTTAAGGTTTGAACCAAATTAGAGCATGTCCGCTTCTAAAGCAATGTCTGTAATGCTCATTCAGGGCTAATGAGATGCACTGTGTGACCCCGTACCATGGATAATTCAACACACACACACATACTACTACATGAAGATGACACCTGTTATAGCTGCCAGAGGAATGTGTAGTGGGGTCACTCGGTGCACTTCCCCACCACTGTTGGTAAATCTGTGTAGCCCGGCATGGGGTCACTCGGTGCAGTTGGTGTTCTTCTGTTTATAGTAGCTCATTCAGCCGACTCAGCAGTTTGTAAAGGCAGCTGTCAATGAAGGCGAAGTCCATTCATGACTAGAATGTCACACACTGCACTCAGCTCACAATCAACAAGTTCTCACAAGAAATTAACAAAATTCTAGACTAACACTTAGTCTCTAAATATATATACTTTGGATAGTAACAAATATACCCATTTAAATTGAAAAGGAGCCCCAGTGAGATCTAGACTGGCTTCATTTGGGGCTTTAGCATTGCAGGGAGGGCTTGGCAGTAGGGAACATAATGTGGATTGGGGCTGTGAGACAGACTGACAAAATTCAAACATGGAGTAATATTTTCATGAACCATGCATACAAATCTATCATAATCAACACATATTTAACCTGATTCCTACACCATGTAAACAAAACAATTAAAAGAGCTGTCCAAAATCGTCAAATATCTCAAAAATAAATCTCCTTTTATTGGTTGAGTGAGTGTGAGAAAAAAAAATATCATGAAATTTATCTTCCTGTTAACATTAAAAAAGCACTTTTAAATATATCAGAGCAAGGGTCGCCGTACTGTCAGGTTTGAGGTGTACGTTTCATCATGTTTACTCACGGGGGTCAAGCCAGTGTGTTGTAGACTTCATGTAGGTTGAGATGTTTATGGTGTTTACACAAATCAGCATACATAAACAGGCCTCTTAAATTCACAGGGTAAAACCGTGTTTGCTTTGCGATGCTCCAAAGCATATGCATGACACAGAAATTGTCATTCATGTTGTCGACATGATCGTGATTTACTTGTGGCTTGTCGATCACAAAGTACAAACCGCTTATCAACGATGACGCACGGCGGCAAATCACAATACCTTTTCAGCACTCGTACAGGATTATGCTAATGATAATGTTCGCCTGTGTACATTTGTATGTTAAACAGGCTTTGGGGTTCCTTTGAGGGGGACTCGGTGTATGTTGAAATCCTCTTGTCCGAGTGCACGTTATGAAAAGCTTAAAGGAATCACTTGACTTTTAAACATTCACTCCGAGTTAAACATGATAATCGAAACAGAATGGTTGGTAATGTACGCAGATGTGGTCGGGTCATTAACCCCTCTGTCTCCACTGTCGTCAACTGTCACCGATGTTGTCACCAATGGTGTTGACAGCAATGTCGGTGTTGTTACCAATGCTGTAAGTCTTCTTGCCAATGCTATGAGACATCAGATACAATAAACTACATCAACTTCATAACAAACATTGTTTTTCCCAATTTTTTAATAAAAAACTTGCTCATAAATTATCAACATTTCTATGAAGCACAATGTACTTAAAGTTATTTTCTGATGTAAACAGAAAAAACCGATATCTCAATTGAAATTAAAATACTATACTCAGTGAATCTTGTTTTGTGGTTGAGCGTAAACTACAGGCTAATGCCGAACGCACCTGAAGCACCTGCTTGACGGATCTCCATGGAAGTAAGCTTTCGTAAATCCCACTCACATTTAGGACATTAAACATGTCAAGGGTTTATAATCTCATAAAACATGGAAACACACAAACAGGTCTTGAGACCATGGTAAACAACTTCCTATTTCCAGCGTAACTTATTTACGACTGTACTCACACCAAATAAACTTGAACTCGAAAGATTTCGGGCATCTGTATCCGAATAAACAATTTACAAGCAAACACTGTGAAATTCCCTGCACTTATCAGGGTTATATTATGTTACCCAGTTAAGGAATAGGATTTGTGTTTTATTGTTGAATGAATATGAAAGGATTTGAATATTTATTCACTAGTTGACATTAATGTACTTTGTGAAGGCTGGAATATCTTGAGACGTAATAAAATCACTTGACTTAACTTGAAAATCCCTCTCGTCTTATCACATGGTCATTTGGTTTGATCACAAAGTGTTCAGAATTTTGTGGACTAACGTATAGTCCCAGAATATATATATATATATATACACATACACACAAATTTAAAAAGAGCTTGAGGCAGTGGGGTAGCCTTGTGGTTACAGCGTTCGCTCATCATGCCGAAGACCAGGGCCTATATTTTCGAAGCTCTCTTAGCGCTAAGATAGTCGTAAGTTAATGTTGATGTATGGCACTTACGACTATCTTAGTGCTAAGAGAGTTTCCCCCACATAAGTACAATGGTGTCCCTGCCTCAATGTTGTGTGTTGCTGAGTGATGGCTGACTCCGCGACTGACTCAGTGACTGCCCCCCCTCACTCACTCATGACATGACTGGTTTCAGGTTGTGACCAGGGTATCGGACACGAGCTGGCCAAGAAGCTGGACAGCATGGGTCTGCATGTGTTTGCTGGCTGCCTCTTCAAGGATGGACCCGGCGAGACACTGCTGAAAGAGACTTGCTCCGACCGCCTCAAGACTCTGCAGCTGGATGTGCGAGACATGGCGCAGGTTGAGAAGGCGGCCATCTTTGTTGATGAGAACCTCGGAGACAATGGTAGGTGCACATGATAACTACTGCTTACAATTCACAGGAACTGTTGGAATGTAGATGGCTTATACCGACTCACAGAATATTCAACATTGTCGGATTTCAGATTTTCAAATGAATTTATAGTCAGTTATTAAATTTTACAACCATGATGTAACCATGACAGTTCCGACCACATGGTCCTAAACCCTTCCATTTGTCATTCAGAACTGTGGGGCATCGTCAACAACGCCGGCATTTGCTACATCGGCAACGTCGAGATGATGACGATGGAAGACATGCAGAAGATCATGGCAGTCAACTACTTCGGCCCCGTCAATGTCTGCAAGGCCTTCCTCCCCTCTGCTCCGCCGTAGCCGTGGACGTCTTGTTAACATCGCCAGCAATGGGCGTCCACCACAGAAGGAGTGAGTTGAGGCTCAACATTTCAGTACATAATGTCGCATCAGCGCCATGTTCAGAAACCAAAACTGATGCAGGGTATTTAGTCTCCAATGAAAATGAGGATGGTGATAGCAAACCATGATCTGTCAGATTGAACCCATGGTCCACAATTAGGGAACACACATTGAGAAATATACATTTGCATCACGTTCTACTATAAAAACAAATAAATCTTTCTCACATCACTTTGTGTCAACCTATGATGAAAGTTGAAGCCCGATACATAATACTACAGTCCGCCCGGAGAGCGGAAGGTCGCGGGTTCATCCCCGACCGCGTCATACCAAAAGACGTTAAAATATGGTAATTGTTGGTCCCTGCCTGGCGTTCGGCATTAATGGGTACAACAAGGACTGGTCGGCTCGGAGTCAGTATATGTCTGAGTGGGGTATTCATGCTTCACTGCGGCATGTATCTCAGTGGGCTAGCACTACAAAACCAGCTTAAGTCTGGGCTAGTACAAGCAGCCACACATACACACACACACACATGCACGTCGTCATATGAGCGAAATATTCTCAAGCATGACGTTAAATCCAATTTCACCTCACCTCACCTCATAATACTACAACAGTGGTCACATCTTAAACTAAACAGCTGCTATATTTGTAGCTATGAACAGATAATGGATTGCCCAAGGATAGAAATGAGTATTTGTGGAAGTACGACACTGTTTATGTGATGCAACACTTCCCTTTTGTGGAAGTACGACACTGTTTATGTGATGCAACACTTCTCTTTTACTACATGATTGTGGTTTTGCCTGCAGGTTTGGCGCCAATCCCCTTGATGGGTGTCTACTGTGCTTCCAAGGCAGCGCTGGCCAGCATGACCGAAGTGTGGCGCTACGAGCTGCAGGCGTGGGGCATCAACGTCTCCATGATCATCCCCAGCGGATACAAAACAGGTACAGAGATACCATGGTTACCATGGTTACAAGACTTGATAACTTGCCCCAAATTTTGTCTGTTTTGAGTGAAACAGTACGGAAATTATTATTAAGTCTAAAATCTGCTACATCGCAACACTCTAGCGACATAGGGGAGGGAAGCATCAGTTTTGGGCATGACAAGTGAACGCATTATCCATTATATTCTGAAGTATCGAATGGTTTATGATTGCAATGAAGATAACTGCAGTGGATATTCTACAAAATGTTTACAAAATATACGGTACCAAGCATTATTCTAACTCCTCCCCTCTGTTCTTAGGTATCCTTGGTTACGACAAAGACAAGACTGCCGAACGCTGGTGGAAAGCCGCCAGTGATGCAGTCAGGAACGATTATGGCAAGGACTGCTTTCATATCAAGTTACGAAATGGAGGTAAGAACAATATTCATTGATGGATGTTAAGTTCACAGAATTTCAATTTCAAAAATGAAAGCTATGGGTCGGTGACAGCTGCGTCAAAATTAGGTTGGGTTGTTGGGATTCTTTCTTTCTTTTATATACAATGTATAGTAGGTAAAGTTTGCTGGATTGTCAAGTCTTTATGTAGAGAGACATCAGTTGTGAATGAAAGTTCATGTTAATTTTAACTTAAGTGACCATGATCACAAAACTTATTTATTTAACCAACATAACTGTATTCAGAAAATATTTCTCAACACATATTGTTTGAAAAGTTTACTGTGGTATAACGGTACACCATGCAGTTCTAGCAATAAACATAAAACGACAGTGACAATTTCAATCTCACATTTCACCTTCGTTTTTCCAGACAATGTCCTCAGCAGCGACCTGTCTCCCATTATCCAGTCGATTGTGGATGCTCTCCTCTCAACCAAGCCCAAAACATTTTACTACAAAGGCATCTTGTCTCGATCACTTCCCTTCCTGTACCTGCATCTGCCGGTCTGCATCAGCGACCCCATCATGAAAGTCATTGCAAACTGGTACGATTTCTCACCAAGAGCCTTGAAGAAGTGAACAGCCCATTCAGTTGTCAAAGGGGCCAAATAAACTCTCCAAAGAGAAAGTAACTCTCCATGTTGAATGCCACAAGGGGAGATAACTCTCAAGTCTGACCCAATGCAGACAAGAAACTGTGCCAAATATAGATCCGTGTTCGAAATGAAGGAAGTTTTGGCATTCTTAGGGTTACCGGTGTCGTACATTGTATTTAAATCTAACAATTGACATCAGTTGTGAATTACAAACAATGGACCCGATCAAATAGAAAAGAATCCTTGACTTTTGTTCCTGATTTACAACACTGTAGATAACAGTTAATATCTAGAGATTTAGCATTAACAATGGTGGACAAATCTGTTTTGAAGCTGGTTTTTAAAACAATTTGATCTACAAGCCATGGTTGTGAATAGATTAATAGTAAAAATATTGAAATGTTGTTTGATAAATATATACATGCATACTGCAAACAATGGCAGCTTTTATACTCTAACAAGTTTTTCAAGATATGTACATAGACTGTAAAAACGGATCAACCAAAAAGTTGGGATGTCCATCATATCTCGGTAGATTGATATGAGAAATGACCCATACTGACCAAGTCAGACAGAAAGTATCAAAATATTGAAATATATTTTCTTTAAACTTGTCAGTACGTGTTAATTTGGCAAGATCAATGTATCTTCTGTCAAGAGTGAGCCTACATTTGATTTAAAACCTTAAAACAATAACTCTTTTTTCCAAATTTTGTCAGAATATTTTCTAAAAATGGTTCTATTGAGGAGTTTAACCTGATTTCAATCCAGATGCTACATTTTTCATTTTCTCTCCTCCTCTTGGCATACTGACCAATAAAATCTGTAAAAGTAGCAATTAATCTGAATTAAATTAAAGTAATCTGAACTAATACGGTTTTCCAGGGACTGCACAGCATGAGCACATCAACAAGCTGTGTGCCAGCTCACTCTTCCCTTTAAGCCATCTGGAGTTACTTCCCTTAGTTCTCTTTCTGAGCAGACGTGTATCAAGAAAACTGACATCTCCCAGAAACTTTATCACCATTATTTTAGATTGACATTTTTACACAGGATAACTTTATTTCTGCGACTAAAAGTCAGTTTAGAAAACTTTAATACACGACTAAATGTGCATTGATCACCTTTGATGCCACAGTTTGTCATGTGACATTTATTGTGCCAAACTGTTCTCTGAAAAAGCGAGAAATTTTTCGAGGACTCATGTCACAGACAGAATTACTGACCTTTCTATTTGAAAAATTAATTCAATATAAAGTTTGATGGCTGAATTTACTTATATAAAAAGGTCCAATGCTCCATGTTTGACAAGAATAATGTGATATCCATGTATACATTTATGCATAATCATTATGCAGCTTACATTTAGTAAAATCTGATAATTTTTCTAAACAAGCATGTTAACAAAATGACATTATCAAAATGAATCATCATCTTCATCATCATCATCATCGATTGTACATATATCATAAACCAGTGCTCACTGAATGAAATAAATGTAAGGCCGATTTCTTTTGTTGGGTTACGGATTTTGACTGTCAAAAAAAAGGGGGTTGGTCGGTTTAAAATCCCAACCAGACCATAAACACATTGACAAAAGATTTTTTAAAAACATCTTAATAGTTGAAATTGATGAGTAGTTGATCAAAATATGAAAAGATTCATAATTTATTGTTTGTTTTCGGCTTAGTTATATTATCAAACTGATCTACCTCATTAAAATCCATTCTTACAATTTTGAAGTCACTTCGTAAACTGATGCAAAGAGAAAATGTCAGGCCAGGACATGTTGTACATAATAATTAACCACATTACGGGTAAACAATGTTCTTTGAACCAAAATATGATTGTTGTCTCTTATATGCGTAGTTGGAATATCGAGACATGTTGATATACGACAGAATGTGATATGATTCTGAACATCCAAATGGCTGTCAATATACTCAAGGAATGAAAAAAAGGAACAGCTATGTTGCAAGTATGCCAACATTTTGTATCGATTATAACAGAAGTGTATTGACAGGGTTCCCACATTTTTGTGAAAATAAATTCCATGATTTTTCCATTTTTCAAGTCAAAATAGCTTTTTCCGGACACAACATATGTCCTTGGGTAGTTTGATACCTATAAACATATATTACTGTGTCTAAAATAAAACACTATCTTAAATACTTTCTCCCGTCTCCCCTTACAGCTGTACATGCACACCTCTTTATGAGATGACATAATAAAAATGAAACATCGAGTGTAGCAATTTTGCGTTTACCCTTTAACTAATTTTATTGACATATAAGCAATATAAAACATGTTATTATTGTTTAGACTTTTAGTACCACATGTATTTAAGCAAGTATTCACATATATGGAAACTAATCCCGATACACATGTTGATGGCTGCTGAAGCCCTTGTAGTACTGTTAAGATATACAGTTTTGTTAGATAAAAAAACCCATGATTTTTCCATGATTTCATCTACTTTTCAAATTCCATGAATTTTCCAAGGAAAATCGGGTGAAATTTCCAGGTCTTGTGGGAGCCCTGATTGATAACAACGGATGCAAATATTTCAATCCGACATATTTTGTTGACAAGCAAAGGTCTTATTGAACACACCATTGATTTAGTAAAATCTTGCCACAAGTGTCCTATGATTCAACCATCAGTATGTTAGATCTTTCCATAAGAAATACGCAAAGAAAATGTGTGAATTCCTGATCAGCTAATGAGAAACTAAGAATGATAGAAAATAAGAGAAAAAAGATTAATATCTATTTTTGATCATTCCCATCACATTTACTGACATTCGTTGTCTTAATTTGACCAAATTTATGCTTAAAATCCATGTTATTGCTACAATAACATAATACTGATCAAATTCAAGATGGCTGCTATGAACTGCCATTGTGTTCAGGTAGCCTCTGAATATTCAGTAGATATTTCTGTGGAAGGATCACCTGGGTGAAGGTGGCAGCAGTTGTGTTATGTTGAAATGAATTCATATCCATCATGAAAGAAAGAATAAATGAATAAAGAAAATCATGTCTTATGTCTTTTTGTCTGAAATGGAGCGTTACATTGGAATGTGCAAGATTATTGCAGAGGCATGTGGCTGTTTGTTACTTGGACAGACTAATGCTGGTTACAAAATGTATTTAGTACCAGCTAGTGGTGGTCCGATTAATTGAAATTATCGAAGATTGGTTGCAAACCATCATGTTTTCTCATAATCAAACGCAAACAATTCTGGAACAATTGTTTGCATTAACAATATTTTTCACAAGGTTGGTTTTGTCTGTTACATTTAATAAATACGGCCATATTTCCCAGTTCTCGTAAAATCCCCTAGCAGAAAAATTGCTACACAAATTATCTCCCTTCTTTCTATCCAATCAGAACACGTGATACATCGACTTAGATCCAATATGGCGGCCGCCATGGAGTTAGTTGATCAAAATGCGAAGGTTAGATTCGGTATTTCATGTTAAACTGAAAATCATAAACCAGCAATAGAGACTGCAGGAATCAATCGACAAGATGTTTTTGTTGATGTGACACACAAGATATTTACTGGCTAGCTTGTCCGTTGTCAAAGTGAGTGAGTGAGTTTGATTTTACGCCGCTTTTAGCAATATTCCAGCAATATCACAGCGGGGGACACCAGAAATGGGCTTCAAACATTTTACCCATGTGGGGAATCGAACCCGGGCCTTCGGCGTGACGAGCGAACGCTTTACTCACTAGGCTACCCCACCGCCCCCGTTGTCAAAGGGTTGATGGAGTCGCCATTGATCCGCCATTACATGACTGAGTTCTGTCTAGAAGAAACGTTCGCGCATTGGGGAAGAGGTTCTAGTTTTCCCAAAGCATACAGAAATTACTGAGGCTTTGCAAATGATCACTTTTGAAACAATGTCGTTGAATGCACAACTAAATCTGATTGCAACCAATCTCGAACCATGAACACTCGCACAATGAAAGGGCCGCATTAAAACTGAGGTACGTGGGACATGGGTACGTGGGTACTTTAGTGACCTCTGTGGGAAGAGAATGGGCAACAAGTAGCCTCAGACAGATTCTGGCCTAGGGATTAAAACAGAAATTCACAGACTCTCTATGCACAACACTGATAACATAACCACCTGCGAGAGTGAGTGAGTGAGTTTAGTTTTACACCGCTTTTAGCAATATTCCAGCAACATCAAAATGGGGGACACCAGAAATTGGCTTCACACACTGTACCCATGTGGGGATTCGAACTCGGGTCTTCCGCATGATGAACAAACGCTTTGACCATTAGGGCTATCCCACCATCCGATGACCACCTGGATTGGATAACACATTGACAGTATCTTCTCTGTTTAAACTCTAACTAAATTCACTATTCTTACAACAAGCAGGGTTCACGACAACCAAGCAGCTGCCATTACAATAAGGCTGTTCAATATAAGTTGTAACCGGTTTTCTGGTATTTACCAGATCAGACCTGAAAACGATACATATTGCAATACGCTGATCGAAAACTGATATTTTGACATATATTCAGAAAACTTTGTAACACCGGAAACCTTGATGATTGTGGCAATTGTGAATGGTGGTGGGAATGATCAGCGGTGAAAATTATATTTAACTGTACTGTTAAGTTGGGTTTGAAGTTGTGTTCTTAATTTATTTTCAAGTATTTCCGCAATGTTTTGGATTTGAATGTTTTAAATATTAGCTTATTAATGACCAGTGATCTATGATCTGTCCTAACCAGGTCAAGTTGCTGTCTAAAATCTCGGCATTTTTTAGCGTGGAGAAACTAGTTCAAACTAGTAACTACTGTGTTGATGTAACTTGTTCTTTTCCTTGTTTCATTTGTGCCAAATATTATTTAAGTTTTATTTTGACATTATTAACAATTTCTTTTAGAGCTTAATCAAGCATAGTGATTTTGTTGCTTTTGCTTTATAAATCAAGTATTAACTCGATTATAAATAGTTTTCATTGTTAAAAAAACTTCATGCAATATATTGCCATACATATCTATTTCTCAACCAGTCTTGTTCCTGTTGTATGATCCCCAGGGAGTTGAGATTGACAATACGATGTGCCGTTGAGATTGACATCCAGTGAACGAGGGAAAAACAAAGCGCCTTTGAGCAGCCGAGCTGAGCTGGATATCGGCGCTATACAAATGTTAGTATGTATGTATGTAGAGGAATCTTTAAGGATAGGCTCAAGAAACAGGCAACGTGAAAGGATACGTTTCAATGTTTGTCTATTTTGACCTGAGTGTTGGATGATCTGTTTGATTGGTATTATGCTATTCTATGAGTGTTGGATATTTACACAGTACACATAATTTGTGACAGAAGGGGCAGGTTTGACACTCAGTGTTTGTTGTTAGGGTGCAGCATCAGTTCCACAACACAATATCAGAATCAGTTGTTTAACAAGCAGTTTTCATAGAGAGCCTTCAGTGCGGACTGAATCATCTGGCTAAAACTGTTGTAGCAGTTTCAAGGATCAAAATTAGTAGTTTGACCATTAGTAGTCAACTAAATACTGCTAAAAACATGATGGATTCTGAGAAAGATAATATGACACTAATCAAAGAGTGAAGCTTTAATTTCACATACCTCCAACAGCAGATTTCCAAAATATCAGCATTACATTCCTTCTTGTCTCTTTCTTGGCGAAAATGTAATTAATTGATAAAACTTGTTTTTGTCTATATATCCGAAGTTTAATGAATCTTCATAATATTTCTTAGAATTTCTAGTGCAATTTCATTGGCGTAGTTTGAGGCTAAAATTCGTAATGACTATGATAAAATCATAGAGTTTGGCATCTCGGTGTTTGTGTAACCTTAAGGAGGGACTTACAGAGTTATCTCCCCTTCATCTTTATCACGTTCAAGCTGGCTGTAATTTGGTACAGAACAGTTCAGTGCTGTGAGATGGACTCAAGGTAAATCCCTGATACAACTTAAAATATATATAAGGACTAGTGTTGGGAATTGGTTAAAATCTCATAATTGATGATTGTTTCATTACAGCCAATCAATCATCGAAAATCGAAAAAAATTGGTTAGCATCATTTTTCAGATTTTTCTATCCAGGTAGTTATTGCAGATAAGTATAACATGATGCAACTTGCTACTTTAATGTGATAACTGATATATCATGAAGAAAAACTTCAGTCATTACTTTTCAGTTAGTCAAGAGAGTTTTCTAACAATTAAACACATTTTCAGGCCCTGACAACTTCAAAGATATGTTCAAACTATGCCAAGTGTTTCAAACATTAAACCAGTAGTTCCAAAATCATTTGTGTTCTCGATTTTGAGAAAATGTAATCCATTGGTTGGTCATTTGGTCACTTCGGCGACCAATCTTCGCTTTTATTTCAATTAATCGGACCACCACTTGTGAAAGAAGCAGTGAAGTTGTATTACAGCAAGGCACCTTTATGATGGAATTGTCAGTGATGTGATATGTATATCAGATGCTTTACCTGCAGAGCTACAATTACCCATCAAGTAACTTTTTGGGTCAAGTCATGAGTACAAACAAGAGTGAGTGAGTGAAAAGGAGTGAGTAGGAGTGAGGTGCAGTGAGTGGAGTGAGGAGGAGTGAGTGAGTGAGTGAGTGCAGTGAGTGGTGAGTGAGTTGAGGAGTGGGAGATTGAGTGGTGAGTGAGTGAGTGAGGAGTGAGTGAGCAGAGTGATTCAGTAGGAGGAGCAGCAAGTGAGTGGGAGTGAGTGAGTGAGTGAGTGGAGTGAGTGAGTGGCATCAACTCCAGTCTGAGTGAGTGGTGCAGAGTGAGGAGGAGTGAGAACTTCTAAGTGGAGGAGTGAGGCACTGGCTTGAGTGAGTGAGTGAGTGAGTGATTTCTCCCATGTGAGTGAGCGGAGTGAGTCTACCTCTCTGAGTGAGTGAGTGTAGTGAGTGAGGTTTTTTTAGCAATATTCCAGCAGCACACGGGCGGGGACACCAGAAATGGGCTTCACACAATGTACCCATGTGGGGAATCGAACCCCATCTTGGTCTTCAGCTGCATACCCAAGGGCGGGATGTGCATTATTATTTTAACCACTAGGCCACCCCACACCCATTGAGTCATGTACCCGCTTGTGTTCATCTCAACAAATAAATTATACCCACCTCACTCAAACTCAAATGGGTATTTTGCCATTTCCATTATTTGTGAAAATATTTGATCTGTAATATGAGAAAGGATAAGAAAGACTGCAAGTTGCCCAGTTCATGTGCTGAAATAGAACCTCAGATATTCTATCTATATCAGTAACCTCCATCTGTGACACATGGGTCTGCTTAGTTCAAATAATAATAATAATAATAATGTCCACTTGTATGGCGCCGTTTCCACACACTAGTGTATGCTCATGGCGCCTAGTAGGTTTACTGTATGTTACAGTTCGCAAGCTAAGATTTGACATCTTTGTGAGTACGCATGTAAGATCAAATTTATTGAGTATTTAGGAATAGGAATTGAGTTTTCACATAAATATTTGCTTAAGTTCCACAGTTTATCTGTACCTCTGACCGCTCACGTGAAAACCAATGAGCATAGGTACAGTGTTGAGAAACAAAGAAACCGGGATTCGAACCGATGATCATGGGCTGCTGGTTTGCAAAGGGAGGTAACTCTACACAGCAAATTGTGATGTTTCAGGTGACAGGGCCTCTCATGCCCCTCAAAGGCTTCGTATTGAACATGCATTAAGATGACTGTCACGATTTTATTAAGTGCACTCAAAAATATATGCAACATAGAATAGCCAACCTGACAACAATAATAAACTAGGTCGTGTTTCCATGGAAACAGCAACAAACAACAAAATTCTGAAAAAATTTAAAATAGCAAAAGGCACATAAATGGGTAATGATTAACATGTGTGTGAAGTTTGGTGAACCTAGCATGTAAACTTTAAGAGATATGCTACGGACAAAACCATCAAACACATTTGGCACTAAGTCATGTTTCCATGGAAACTGCACAAAACAAAATTCTGAAAAACTTCAAAATAGCAAAAGGAACATCTATGGGTAATGATTAACATGTGTGTGAAGTTTGGTGAACCTAGCATGTAAACTTTAAGAGACATGCTCTGGACAAAGTTTCGGGACGGAAGGACGGAAAGACGGAAGGACAGAATGAACGCTATATACCCCCGTTACTTCAACATAGAATAACCAACCTGGAGGAACCGTCTCTCTTGCATTAGTGTTACTGGTAGATACTTGTAAGAAAAATACTTGCTTGTACTAGGATTGTGTGAGTGAGTCAGTCTGGTATAATGCTGCTATGAACACTTAGGCGTGACGAGCCAACACTTTTTTTTTCTTGAACGAAATCTAAGGTGTGTCTCCACTACTACCTATATGCACAGTTATTGACAGGCCTAGGGACCTGCATTCTCTTCCCACAGAGGTTACTTGTCATATCTTCCTACGAACCTCTGTTCTAATACCGCCATATTTCCCGGTTCTCGTAAAATCCCCTAGCGGCAAAAGATCGTAACACGAATTATCTCCCTTCTTTCTATCCAATCAGAACACGTGTTACATCGACTTAGATTCAACTTGACTAACACAAGCAAATGTGGGGCTACAAATATCCTCCATCTGCCGGGGAATTGTGTTGATGTTACACACAAGACGTTTAATGGCTAGCTTGTCCGTTGTCAACGAGGGCGATGGAGACGCCACTGATCCGCCATAACATGACTGAGTTCTGTCTAGAAGAAACGTTTGCGCATCGCGCAGGGGAAGAAATTTAGTTTTTCTCGAAGCATACGGAAATTACCGAGGCCTTGCGAATGATCACTTTTGAAACAACGTCGCTGATTGCACAACTAAATCTGATTGCCTCCAATCACGAGTCTTGAACGCTCACACCATGAAAGGGCCGTATTAGAACAGAGGTTACGTAGGAAGATATGACAGGAGTAACCTCTGTGGGAAGAGAATGAGGGACCTGGTTAAATAACATAACACTAACAATAGTGCACTTTTAAAATTATAGCGCCATACCATAATGAATATCTTGCTCAAAGTGCTATCATTATTACCCTGGATAACCCAAGCTGCCTGTGAAGAGCTAGAAGGTTAATAAGTCACATGACTTATACCACCGGGTACCCATTTTCTGCTGGGTGAACAGAGGCAAGTTTTAACAAACTCACTCGCCTAAGGTGAGACCACATGTATCACATGTGCTTAGTTGTGGGGCAGGACTAAGTTCAAGAAACTCTCAGGAGTCAAGCTCCCAAACACGGTCACCAATCGAAGAGCTCTCCATGCTCAACGTTGCTTAACTTCAACTGATTTGTGACCTGAGCTCTATGTGCAGGACCAGAAACCACATCAACAGAAACCAGCTGTAAGTTTGGGTTCTGTGATATATGTCAAAGGGAAAAATGAAACCTGAAATGTGTTGTGTCAAAACAAGAAACAGTTCTAGATTTCCACATGACAAACTGACTCACCGACTGTTTCCTTCTGTCTTGTAAGATGGTCAAAGAATTTGGTGCGACTGGCGAAGAGGCCCCCGCACGTGGGACAGGCAACTACTTTCTCCTGAGTGTGGCTGCGTAGGTGTTCTCGAAGCTTGTGCTTGCTCTTAAAACGGGTATCACAGTCTGGAAGGCAAGGGAATCTATCACTAACTGACAAACTGGGCTCGAAATGGAAATACTGATTCACATTGTACCAGGTGTAACTTTCTGTAAGTTGTATGAAAATCTAGTCACAGGTTCCAACCGGGCCCACTTGCACAAAACAATGTAAACACTACCATATTCTAACACCATCCATCCATCACACTTCCATCCATCCACCCACTCGCTCTTCCATCGAAACACCCAACCACCCTTCCATCCATCCACTCACCCTGGACCAACTTGCACAAAAAAATCTAAACACTACCACATTCTAACACCATCCATCCACCACCCTTGCATTCATCCAACCACTCGCTCTTCCATCCAAACACCCACCCACCCTTCCATCCATCCACTCACCCTGGACCAACTTGCACAAAACAATCTAAACACTACCACATTCTAACACCATTCATCCATCCGCCCATTCATCCATCAAACCACACACTCATCCATCCATCCACCCTCCCACCTATCCATCCTACCATCCAACCAACCACACATCCATCCATCCACCCTCCCACTTATCCATCCTACCATCCAACCAACCACACATCCATCCATCCACCCTCCCACTTATCCATCCTACCATCCAACCAACCACACATCCATCCATCCACCCTCCCACCTATCCATCCTTCCATCCAACCAACCACTCATCCATCCATCCACCCTCCCCTATCCATCCTTCCATCCAACCAACCACACATCCATCCATCCACCCTCCCACCTATCCATCCTTCCATCCAACCAACCACTCATCCATCCACCCTCCCACCTATCCATCCTTCCATCCAACCAACCACACATCCATCCATCTATCCATTCACCATGCCTCCATCCACCTATCCACCCATTCCACTGCCCTCCTACGGACCTGTCCATCTACACTGACAGCCTCCTTTGATGTTGTTGCCGTTGGGGAATTCCTCGCAGTGGTTGGCCACATGGTTGTAGAATATCACAGGATTGTCACACACAGCCTGAAAATATACAAAAAACATTGTTGACAGGTCAGTGGGTTAATGTGATGTCAAAGATCTGACACAGCAACACGCTAGTACACATTTGCTGTGTTTGTTGTTAAGGCTGCACTCAGCAATCTTGCTGCTACATAGCGATGGTCAGTAAACAATCAGGTCTGGACCAAACAATCCATAATGAGCATAGATCTACTGAATTGGGACTGGTCAACCAAGTCAGTGAGTCTGACCACATGCTGTCCAGCCACACTGTAGACTAGCCAACCACACCCTGACCTACTGTAACGACGGAGACTAAGCCACACTGTAGACTAGCCAACCACACCCTGACCTACTGTAACGACGGAGACTAAGCCACACTGTAGACTAGCCAACCACACCCTGACCTACTGTAACGACGGAGACTAAGCCACACTGTAGACTAGCCAACCACACCCTGACCTACTGTAATGATGGAGACTAAGCCACACTGTAGACTAGCCAACCACACCCTGACCTACTGTAACGATGGAGACTAAGCCACACTGTAGACTAGCCAACCACACCCTGACCTACTGTAACGATGGAGACTAAGCTAAGCCACACTGTAGACTAGCCAACCACACTGTAGACTGACCTACTGACCTACTGTAACGATGGAGACTAAGCCACACTGTAGACTAGCCAACCACACCCTGACCTACTGTAACGACGGAGACTAAGCCACACTGTAGACTAGCCAACCACACCCTGACCTACTGTAACGATGGAGACTAAGCCACACTGTAGACTAGCCAACCACACCCTGACCTACTGTAACGACGGAGACTAAGCCACACTGTAGACTAGCCAACCACACCCTGACCTACTGTAACGACGGAGACTAAGCCACACTGTAGACTAGCCAGCCACACCCTGACCTACTGTAACGATGGAGACTAAGCCACACTGTAGACTAGCCAACCACACCCTGACCTACTGTAATGACGGAGACTAAGCCACACTGTAGACTAGCCAACCACACCCTGACCTACTGTAATGATGGAGACTAAGCCACACTGTAGACTAGCCAACCACACCCTGACCTACTGTAACGATGGAGACTAAGCTACACTGTAGACTAGCCAACCACACCCTGACCTACTGTAACGATGGAGACTAAGCCACACTGTAGACTAGCCAACCACACCCTGACCTACTGTAGCGATGGAGACTAAGCCACACTGTAGACTAGCCAAGCCACACCACCCTGACCTACTGTAACTGATGGAGACTAAGCCACACTGTAGACTAGCCAACCACACCCTGACCTACTGTAACGATGGAGACTAATGGAGACCACACTGTAGACTAGCCAACCACACCCTGACCTACTGTAATGATGGAGACTAAGCCACACTGTAGACTAGCCAACCACACCCTGACCTACTGTAACGATGGAGACTAAGCACACACTGTAGACTAGCCAACCACACCCTGACCTACTGTAAGCGGTGGAGACTAAGCCACACTGTAGACTAGCCAACCACACCCTGACCTACTGTAACGATGGAGACTAAGCCACACTGTAGACTAGCCAACCACACCCTGACCTACTGTAACGATGGAGACTAAGCCACACTGTAGACTAGCCAACCACACCCTGACCTACTGTAACGATGGAGACTAAGCCACACTGTAGACTAGCCAACCACACCCTGACCTACTGTAATGACGGAGACTAAGCCACACTGTAGACTAGCCAACCACACCCTGACCTACTGTAATGATGGAGACTAAGCCACACTGTAGACTAGCCAACCACACCCTGACCTACTGTAAGCACACTGGAGACTAAGCCACACTGTAGACTAGCCAACCACACCCTGACCTACTGTAACGACTGAGACTAAAGCCACACTGTAGACCACACCAACTAGCCAACCACACCCTGACCTACTGTAGCGATGGAGACTAAGCCACACTGTAGACTAGCCAACCACACCCTGACCTACTGTAACGATGGAGACTAAGCTACACTGTAGACTAGCCAACCACACCCTGACCTACTGTAACGATGGAGACTAAGCTACACTGTAGACTAGCCAACCACACCCTGACCTACTGTGCGATGGAGACTAAGCCACACTGTAGACTAGCCAACCACACCCTGACCTACTGTAATGACGGAGACTAAGCCACACTGTAGACTAGCCAACCACACCCTGACCTACTGTAACGATGGAGACTAAGCCACACTGTAGACTAGCCAACCACACCCTGACCTACTGTAACTTGTGGAGACTAAGCCACACTGTAGACTAGCCAACCACACCCTGACCTACTGTAACGATGGAGACTAAGCCACACTGTAGACTAGCCAACCACACCCTGACCTACTGTAACGATGGAGACTAAGCCACACTGTAGACTAGCCAACCACACCCTGACCTACTGTAACACTGGAGACTAAGCACACTGTAGACTAGCCAACCACACCCTGACCTACTGTAACGATGGAGACTAAAGCCACACTGTAGACTAGCCAACCACACCCTGACCCTACTGTAACGATGGAGACTAAGCCACACTGTAGACTAGCCAACCACACCCTGACCTACTGTAGCTGGAGACTAACACTGTAGACTAGCCAACCACACCCTGACCTACTGTAGCATGCTGACTAAGCCACACTGTAGACTAGCCAACCACACCCTGACCTACTGTAACGATGGAGACTAAGCCACACTGTAGACTAGCCAACCACACCCTGACCTACTGTAACGGTGGAGACTAAGCCACACTGTAGACTAGCCAGCCCACACCCTGACCTACTGTAGCGATGGAGACGGAGACTAAGCCACACTGTAGACTAGCCAACCACACCCTGACCTACTGTGTGGAGACCAGCCACACTGTAGACTAGCCAACCACACCCTGACCTACTGTAACGGTGGAGACTAAGCCACACTGTAGACTAGCCAACCACACCCTGACCTACTGTAACGACGGAGACTAAGCTACAGTACCCCACATGCTGTCCAGCCACACTGTAGACTAGCCAACCACACCCTGACCTACTGTAACGATGGAGACTAAGCTACAGTACCCCACATGCTGTCCAGCCACACTGTAGACTAGCCAACCACACCCTGACCTACTGTAACGATGGAGACTAAGCTACCGTACCCCACATGCTGTCCAGCCACACTGTAGACTCTCGGGCAGCTCTGGGATCCAGTTCCGACTCTGCCCGTCGATGGTGCACACTGGGTATCTCGTCTTCTTGATGACCACGGCTCCCACACACTTCAGCTTCACGTGGAAGGCGTGGAAATACACGTGACGGTTGAAGTCATGCTTGTCACCGAGTATCTGAGTCCCACAGTCACGCCAACCACAGGAGAATCCTTTCTCTGAAACAACAAGAGAATCTTCCAGAAATCTCCACTGGTACCCTGGAACCATCTACTACTGATAAATTGTATTACCTCCCTTGGCTGGCTCCGCCTGCTCACAGTAGCTAATCTGACAAGCCATTAAAACCAAGCTTGCCAGTGTTAACAAAGATGGCGGAATCAGACGCCAGGGGTCGAAATAACCCATTGCCCGACGTCCGAGTCCAGTGGTTTTTTCTGTCGGGCAAGCAAATTTGTATATCACACTGTACCGGTGTCTAGTTGACATTCCAATGTTAATTATGTTGCTTATTTTTAAAAATCAAAAAGAAAACGGCCAGTATAGAGGACAAAGTTATCAGGGCAAGTGATTTCACATGTGCCACTGTACCGGAGTACACTAGCAATTTTAAAGCATTCCACCCCTGGACGCGATGCTTAACTGCTCGCTATGCGACTCAGATTTAGGGAAATAATCAGACAGACAAATTGACAGGTCTGAAACGTTCAAAAAATATATACAAGAACTCATTCTTCCTCTTTCAGGGTACCTTTGCAACAATTGTTTTGCAAAGTTTAATCTATTAGATAAAAATCGACTTCGACATTGAAAACAAAGTCAACAAACTCCGAATTTCAAGGCAAGATATGATAAAAGCCTTGTGATTGGTACGCTCAACTTCCCAGCGTAGACAGCTGATTGGATAAAAAGCCAGCCAAGAGAGGTAATACAATTATCGGGCCAAGGACTAGATGCATCCAGGGTACTAGTGGAGATTATCGGAATGTATTCCCCGGAGATTATCGAGGATGGAATTCAATTCATCATTAACAATCACTAAAATCGAAGATTCATGAAAAGGAGTGTTTCTGCTTGAGTTTGGATGTTATTTATCAAAACACAATATGCATATTTGAATATATCCATGTGAAGCTGGATGATAGTCAACATGTCTAACTTGACAGTAATGTGATCATTGTTGCCATGAAGTAACACAGACAACGTGGCAAAAACATGTCAGATAATATGTTCTGTTATGGTTTCACTGGATATATAGAGAATACTAAACGATGTCCTGTGTAATACCATATTTATGGGGGGGGGGGTGTAGCCTAGTGGTTAAAGCGTTGGCTCGTCACGCCGAAGACCCGGGTTCGAATCCCCACATGGGTACAATGTGTGAAGCCCATTTCTGGTGTCCCCAAGTCTGGTTGTTGCTGGATTATTGCTAAAAGTGGCGTAAAACCAAACTCAGTCAGTCAGCCATATTTATGAAACGAATGAATGGTTCATGAGTTTCATAAATATGGTATTACACGGGACATTGTTTAGTATTTTAATTATTACTCACCCAACATTAGCAAAACAATATCGAGCAAAGTACTTCTTTCCTGAGAATTCAACAAGTGTGATGACTCTCAGTCTCAGCTTTCCGCAAGTCAAGCTAGGTCTAATATTATTGTGACAGAGGTATTAGCATTGTGACGTCATAACTGTAAACCACTTTGACGTCATACTTATGGCATCATGAGATGTTATTACACAATGTGCAATAACATTGTAAAACTATTAAACAGTGATATCTTCAATAGATGAGTAATGAAATGAACAATACACCAATTGCATTCATTACCCAATATTCCCATTTGTTACCTAATATTAGTGATATGTATCATAACCTTGTAGATTCATGGCAGCCTCAGTGAACACTGACTTTGGCAGCAGCGAATGCCACTGACTTGATTTTATCAAGTTTATCCCTGCAAAATTTGGCGACATTTTGAATGGCAATTTGTCAAAGTCTTCACTGAAAAATGAAATTATGAGAAAGCCTGTCTTTGATGTCCACGGATCTCCAAGTGACCAAGGTCGAAGACAGCTAGACAGAACTTTCAGTTATCACTGCATTTGGTCGCTGTGAGTAACTGTTAATAGGGGTGATATGGTATGCTCTTACCACAGTACGGTACGTATTGAGGTACAAGGCCTTCGGTTCGGTATATGAGATATGATCATAATGCAGAAAAGAAAAGAAATGCACAGATTTTGACAAAATGATTCGATTTCAAGACTGACTGAGGTTGGTTTTATACCGCTTTTAGCAATATTGCAGCAACATCACGGCAGGGGACACCAGAAATGGGCATAACACATTGCACCCATGTGGGGATTCGAACGCGGGTCTTGGACGTGACGAGCCAGCGCGTTAACCACTAGGCTACCCCACCGCCCCTTGATTTCAAGACTTTTAGAAAAGGTTTTAAAAGGTTAAAAACATGACGAAAATAACGATTTTTTAGCGCATTACCGGTATATCGAACCGAAGGCAAACTACTGCGGTATAATGTTTCACCCCTAACTGTCATTATATGTCAATGTCACTGCACTCAGTCATGTGGCAACAGTAATTCTTAATCATGTAAATAGTCCTCCTATCAGTTACAGACGTAACGGTAATTCTAAATATCAAGGAACTTATCAATGTGGCAATTGTATCTCTAAATATCACTGCACCTCGTCACTATAGCAACAGTTATTCTAAAGATCCTTGTTGCCAACACTTTGCCAGTTGTAGTTTCATGCCCCATTATGTTTAGGGTATGATATCGCTTGTACAATGGCTGAATCTACAAGTGAGCTCAGCTGATATTAATTCCACATACTAATCAATAAAATAGTGGTGGTGCGATTAATTGAAATAATCGAAGATTGGTCGCAATGACTAAACGACCAAGCAATCGATCATGTTTTCTCATAGTCGAACACAGACAATTCTGGAACACTTGTTTGCATTAACAATATTTTTCACAAGGTTGGTTTTGTCTGTTACATTTCATAAACATTACAAGCTCGTTCCAAGTCAGGATTGAATTTATCTTAAGACTCCAGGAAATTTATGTTCCTAACATACTAGTCCTCCTTTAAAGATGTTAAATTTGCACATGCATTTTGTGGAATTTGCAAAAAGACTTATAAGAACTACATGTTTTTTCTTTGTTTTTTAGTGCAGTAACAAACATACCCAGAAAAAATTGATAAATGATGCTGACCAATTATTTCCGATGATTGATCGGTTGTCTTGAACCAATCATCAATTATGAGATTTTATCCAATTCCCAACACTACAATAAAAAGAAACAAAGTCATGCCGTATACCAAAAGGTTTTGGGCGGAGTCTGACCCACCTTCAGACGTTGCTGTGGAAACAAGGTTCCAAATGTGAATTCCGATGTGACGGAGGAAGTCTGGGATGTCCGTGAACTGCTCGTCACAATCACCCCACTCACAGTCGTACACCAGCTCACTGTCTGCCACGTCCACACGGATACTGGCTTTCTTCTTCTGGGTGTCAGCCATAACAGCGACTCACCACTCTGAAAGAAATTACTCAAATTAGAAATGTGAAAATCCAGGTTGGAACCTGTCATCAGTAGTGGTGTTCCGATGATCAAAAAATAATCATCAAAAATTGATCGAAAGAAGGATTAAAAATGATTATCGATTGTAAAAAAATATTTTTGATTAATCGGAATTTTGTTGTTTTTGTATAACACCCTTGAATTAAGTATACTAACCATTTAATTTGATGAATATTCACGAACAAACATGCGCTCAACAGCGTAAGGCTCTGCGCATTGTAAAATTTTAACCACTTTTATTGTTTAATTACAATTCCAGTGTATTACTTGCATGCATGCATTTCATTGCATGACAGTATTAGTTAAAAAAACCCATTAATTAGAAATAACCTGGGGAAAAACCCTTAAAATTGGTGATTACATTAAAAATGTATATATTTTGATTATAATCGATAATTCTACCATGAATCAAGAAAATACTAGATTCTGACTGGTTGTTCAGAAAAATCAGATGGCATCAATTGACGCTCATCTGATTGTAAGGCCGCTTCACCGCGCATAGACAAATCTTATTGTGAGAACTACTTCCGTTTGACCATAATGATGGCGGATCATAACAACAACTCCATGGATTTTGACGCTGACTTTCGATTATTCCACATAGGCAATTGGAAATTTTTGGATTAAAAATGCGTTTGATTTCATTGCCCTTCACTGCGTACGTATAGAACACTGCCGCACTACTTCAGCTTGACTACCAACATGACTAATATCAACACAACAGACGTGATGGAAATGCCGATAAAACATTTATTTAAACCCGAAAAATACAATTATATGATCCCCCAATTATGAGGGAACCTCACTATCATATTACCTTATCATAATACACAGCCCCAAACATAAACAAAACAATATCTAACATATAAATCAGAAAGCCTTGTAAAAATTCATCCCTATCTATACAAAATATGCAGCAAAACATTAGTAAACATTTACCTACCTGGTAAATGGTATAGTTAATTCCATTTAGAATGGGAAATTTGCAAGATAGATCTAACAGTCTGGCGAAACACCACATTTATGCCACTCATAGTCATACTCCATCATATCCCGTTGCATCGTTCACAAAATAATTCTGCTCTCTACCAGCTTCCCCGCAAGGTTGTCACTGTTATGTTCATCTACTTTGAAAAACGCTTGGACACAGTCCAGTCCCAAACGATGAAAACAAAGTTCCAAGGAATCACAAGTTAGTCGCATGTACACTAAGCAGCAGCATTGTCACTCTTTTGTCGCATGCCGGGGTGGAGGCAGTACGTGAAATCATGATCGGTCGGTCATAAAAATCAACAGTCTTTGATGAGTTACAGGTCGTAGGTTGATCAGGAAAGGATCTGTTCTTCGATTCTGCAGGGTTCAGATTCAACAGTCAGTCAAGTATTGTCCACTGTCACTTCAAATTTCAACCTTTCGCAAAATGTAAACACTGGCTCGTCCGCCATTTCAAACTGTTGCGTAACTGTCTACTTCGAAGAAAATAAGTAGGTCAGACGATTCCATTATAGTGTGGCCATGGGGGTACAGTTTCACGTTTCGTGTGGAGTTGGGATGAAAAAAACCCCAAGATCTCGGGTATTACATAATTGCATTGAATAAACAGTAGTTTGATTTCTTTGGACAGAATATTGTTATGTTGTAATGTTAAAAAAATACCAACGACACCTACCGCTCCCTTCACAGATGAGTTCAATTCGCCTCTCGTCCCATGCCGGATTACGCAGTGTCTTCCGCAGAGAGAAGAAGTTCGATTTTAAATGGGTCATGGTAGAATGGAGATAACCCTAGTGTGTTTGAAAATCAGAGACATGCTTTACCGAATTGATGGCGACTAAATATTTCAATTGAAACCTCACGCTACGCGTTCAGTTCCAATTGAAATGTAGTCGCCATCAATTCAGTAAAGCATGTCTCTGATTTTCAAACACACTAGGTTTATCTCCTAATTGTTCACAAGTCCTCCAATAATCGATAGTGGATTTGATTTCCGGTTCCCAACACCCGTCATCAGCAACCAATGTCATAATAGGTGGGGGCGGTGGGGTAGCCTAGTGGTTAAAGCGTTGGCTCGTCACGCCGAAGACCCGGGTTCGAATCCCCACATGGGTACAATGTGTGAAGCCCATTTCTGGTGTTCCCGGCCGTGATGTTGCTGGAATATTGCTAAAAGCGGCGTAAAACCAAACTCAGTCAGTCAGTCATAATAGGTGACTGTGGGATCTGGTAGTCAGGCTTGCAGACTTCATTGACACGTCATAATAATAATAATAATATAATAATAATAGTCCATTTACTTTGTGCATTTATCCTGCTCAAAGCGCTGACATATTACCCCTGGTCAACGAGTACAGAACACTTCCTGTAGAGAATACAACTGGTCGCCTGTCAGGCGCACAAGGTTCAAAGTCAGACAACCATCGTATCATACCAGGTACCCAGTTCACGGCTGGGTGGACAGAGGCAAGTTTGAACGAACTCACTTGCCTAAGGTGAGACCACATGTATCACATATGCTTCGTTGTGGGGCAGGATCTATGTTCTTATTACCCACGTGGTCAACGTATGGGTAGTTGCATACTAATCTCGTACGTCACACAAGTGTCGTATCGCGTTGACCTGTGTCGTAACGACTTGACCTGAGATTCTAACGATTTGATTGGAAAACTGATGACCTCTCAGTTAGGTCACGTTGTGACGGAACTACTTGTTCATTCATAACAAACACGTGAATTCATTCATTCTACAACTTAGATGCATTGTGGGAATGTAAACATTGCGAACGTTGCCGTGTCGTTGTTTAATTGTGAGTCGAACTGAGACATTAGATCCGTCGAAAAACATAAGCGCAATGTTTCCACCCAGTGATGTTAGCCGAGTGAAGCGGTTGCAAACCAAGAAAGCGGGTGCTACGGTGTAGTTTACTGTAGGAGGCTGTCACGAGGCAATGACAACTGACATGCATCGTGGCGTCCGGTTACATAGGAAGGACACTTTCGTTTACATTATTAGGTATGTAATGAGACCTCGTTTAGTATTCTCTATATATCAGTCACTGGGTTGTCTGGTCCAGATCTGATTATTTACAGACCGCTGTCATACAGCAAGTGTGGCGTAAACATACAAACAAAAACAAATTAGAAACTTTATAACTCAACATAAGAGGGAATCGGTATTGTTTTACCCTGCTTACAGTAATATTCCAGCAATATCAAGGTGGAGGAAATAGTGGTGTTCCAACTAATTGAAAAAATTCAAAGATTGGTCGAAGTGACTCAAAACGACCAAGCAATCGATCACATTTTCTCATCATCAAACACAAACGATTTTGGAACTACTGTTTTAGTGTTTGAAACACTTGACACTGGAACATATCTCAGAAGTTGTCAGGGCCTGAAACGTGTTTTAGTCTTAGAAAACTCACTTCACTTACTGAAAAGTCATGACTGAATCTTTCATGAAGACTCCGGGAAGTTTATGTTCATGATATATTTGTCATCACTTTAAAATAGCAAGTTGCATCATTTTACATTGGATGTGAAGTTTGCAAATGCAATTTGTGCAGTTTCTAAATATAACAAAAAAACAACAGAGAACCATGTTATACTTATCTGCAATAACAACCTGAATAGGAAAATCTGAAAAATGATGCTAACCAATTCTTTTCGATGATTGCTCGTTGGTAATGAACCAGTTATATCAACTGTGAGATTTCAACCAATTCCCAAACCTAGAGGACACCTGGAATGGGCTTCATACATTGTACTAGGGATGTCACGATACATAAGTTTCATGGATCGATACGTATCACGATACCCAAGTCACAATTCGATTCGCATCATGACACCTATTTTTGCGGGATTATTGCGTAAGTTTAGTTACATTTTGAACATTAATATTTCATTTGTATAATTGTCCATGAAAGGATCAACATTTGTGATTCTCAGAAATTAAAAAGTTCTAATTTCCCATCTTTGTGCATGAAAAATAATCATTTATAAATCTCATAACATCAAAAAACATGATACAATTGCAAAATGTAAATGATACATAAACATATTTAAACCCGATACTTTCAAAACTAAATATAGACACAGTTTTGAATGTATCGATAATTGTATCGTCTTAAGAAAAGTATCGATGCATCGATGTATCGTGGCATCCCTACTTTGTACCCATGTTGGGAATCAAAATATGGGTCTTTGGCGTCACAAGCAAACTCTTTACAACCGACCCTCATTGTACAGTAAGTAGGAATTGCAAAAGAAAAGTAGGTATCTATAGCCTAAATCAAAGTACAAAGAATTCAGTAAAAACAATTCTTTACACATTGATAAATATACCTGTTATAGAGACAAGCTGGAAGATTCTCTCACTAAAATTGAGAAGAAACTTGGGTTATTCAATACCTTTATGGTTTTGTACGCAAGCAACTGAAAATTTATTTTGTTATTGTGCATTAGTATGGATATTTTACCCAAACATAAAGCTTATCTGGGCATGATTTAGGTGAATGCCAAACATAATTTTGGGTCAGCTTTAGACAGGGGCCATGAATAATGTATATTGATTGTGATGTTGTATGCTGTTGCTGCAAAGGACACTGTAATCACTTACCTCAGATTTAGCGTTTAGTTATTGTCAATAACATACTTCTAATATGGCTTTTTGAATGCCAAAGAAACCTTTGTCATTTCTCATTAATGACATGAACAACGGAAAAATGCCTCACTAAGTTTTAAAACACATTATTATCTTGAAAACAGGCCATCCTCCGAGTATATACAATGTCTGTGTTGAACAACACATCTGTCATTTAGAAGATAAAGCTACTCGGTTTTCAATTTTGCGGTCCTTTATCGTTGATTTAAGACCGCTAACTGTAATTTAAAAACCGAACGTGTTAGCGTGAGGTTTTAAATTAGACATTTAGCGGTCTTATTGATCTTTCCTACTGTATGACAATCGACTCGCCCCAATTCAAGCCGTGAACTCGCTAAGTTTAGTCGCCACTAACTTCATTCACGGAAATAATTGTTGATAACCACCCTACTATTCCCAATTTGGAAAAGACCTGACATGCCATGTTTTATGTGGGATACATGGACAGTGGAAGTGGAAGGACTGGGCATTATGGCCGGGACGGAAGAGGTCAGGTTAGGACGTGTGGGCCGGCGTGTGTTGTCGACGTCATGCCCGCCATATCTAGACCCGGTTTGAATATACTGCCGCTTTTCCGCTGCTGACGGATTTTCCAGCTTCATAGTTTCTTCACTGGGATTAGGGTCAAGAAATTCTTCTTCAAACCATTCGCTTTTTACTTCAAAAACACCAAAGATGCTGCCAAGGTAGAAATTGCCGATGTCTGACATGTTTGTTTACAAACAATGGGGTCAACGAGTTCGTTGTATTCATATGCGGTGAATCAGTCACTTTCATTAGCGGTCTTAAACTGCCATTTAAGTACAGTTTTGACGAACTCTCAGCCAATCAGAATCGAGTATCACACCATGTCGTGCTAGAATCAAGGGTAAACACTATCATCAGAAACATACTTGTATAAACCCAATGATTAATAAACAAATCGGGTTTGAAATAAACTGTTGTCTAGCGACAGTTATCTTTGGTGTCTTCTCAAATCATCTACAGTCTGGGTTAAAGTAAATTAAACTAATAGTACAGTCGTGAATTGTGTGGGTCCATACAATAAGTTGTCAACAGCCAAAGCTTGTAATTTACAAAACATACTTGTTCTGGTTCCCATCTTCTCATAAACAATGTTGTCCATGAACCTTCATTATTTATGAGAAAAATTGGGAATACAAATTGAAACAAAGTTTACTTGAGCAATTTCCTTTTTCAGATAGTATATATCTGGCTTTCAATTCAGGTGAGCTGTTGTAAATTACTTGTGTATCATGTGAATATTGATCATGGTCAAATTTCGCCATGAATTCACGACAGACTGATGATATGTAATGGATATGACAATTCCTATATTGTCTACGGTGTTTTCTGGTCGACATTGTTCATTTAGTTGAAGATAGGGACGTAAATATTCACAAACAAACTGCTCAACAGTCACACGGCCGTTTGACGTCTCCCACCAACAGGAATTAACTGCTGACGATGGCACAAGAACTTCCCGGTTTTGACACAAAAGTGTGTTATCTGGCTCACCTCTCCCGAATTATAAAACACATATGCTTCGTTCTATGACATATCCGTACAGTGAATGTGTATGTACTCACAATTAACGATAGAAATTTCACAAAGCGAAGAAGTTTCTCCCGCGTTTTCAATCGTTCTCAACAGTGACGAGGTCAAGGACGTTGAAAAACCAACTTCCGCCAGCTGACTTCCTCATCCGGTACTATCAACACGTGCTTTTGTTTACACTCTATGTGTCGATATCCAAAATGATACAGCCAGTGACTCAGAACTATACACGCATAAGATATGGACGCGAAACCAACAAACAGCAGCCAAAAAATATTATATAACTAACAAAGATATTATAACTACATAGGACGACAAATCCTAACTGGGGTGATGACGATTTCAAAGGAGGTGTGTGTGTGTGTGTGTGTGTGTGTGTGTGTGTGTGTGTGTGTGTGTGTGTGTGTGTGATGATGTGTGTGTGTGTGTGTGTGTGTGTGTGTGTGTGTGTGTGTGTGTGTGTGTGTGTGTGTGTGTGTGTGTGTGTGTGTGTGTGTGTGTGTGTGTGTGTGTGTGTGTGTGTGTGTGTGTGTGTGTGTGTGTGTGTGTGTGTGTGTGTGTGTGTGTGTGTGTGTGTGTGTGTGTGTGTGTGTGTGTGTGTGTGTGTGTGTGTGTGTGTGTGTGTGTGTGTGTGTGCTTCCACTCATTTTGTTCTGGGGAGGTAGAGAGGGTCAGCAATGTACACATGTACTAGGGGTCAGCAATTATGTACATAACAATATTTAAAAAAATAATCTTCAAACTTATGGGAAGGGAGGGAGGGGGAGAGGGGAGGGAGGGGGTCATTGATTAGTACATAAAATTTAGTGGTTTTGGGTTTGTTTTGTTTTTGTTTTGTTTTAGGGGCAGGTGGGTGGGGTATCATTCACATAAAAATCATCATCACCCCCCTAGCCATGAATTATGAACCGGGCCTTACTGCATCAAAATGCAATACCAGTGTGGCAGAAGCAGATTTCCTGTATGTCTATGCAAGGTATGTAATACCGGAATGATTAATATTTTTTTTTATAGTTCTAACCATCTTATTTTTTTATATTGTTCAGTCTGTCTAAACATTGCTCTATCATTTGTAGCCCACTAACAAAACAGCCTCACTTCATGCTTGGTGGCGCGTGGTCCTGTGCTTAAAGCTCAGGGTTCCGTTCCACTAACCGATCTTATCTAAGATCAATCTTAGCAAGTTACGCCAATTTTACAATCGTCTTAGCTAAAAGTTACACCCGTTCCACTAACCGATTTTAGGCCGATTGTAGCCGGTCCCGATCTTACGATCCGATCCAAGCTTAGATCGAGACTCTTTTGTGCGAGAGATAGAGGAATGCGAGGCACGAGTTTTCTCCCTTTGCATAGTCTAGCAAATGATGGAAGTAGTTTAAGAACCAACTGAGTGAGTGAGTGAGTTTAGATTTACGCCGCACTCAGCAATAGTCCAGCTATATGGCGGCGGTCTGTAAATAATCTAACTAAGATGCAGAGCGTTCACTAACATGAGCGTTCATGTTAGTTAACGCTATGTATCTTAGCTATAAATAATCGAGTTTGGACCAGACAATCCAGTGATCAACAGCATGAGCATCGATCTGCGCAGTTGGGAACCGATGACATGTGTCAACCAAGTCAGCGAGCCTGACCACCCGATCCCGTTAGTGGCCTCTTACCACATGCATGGGTTATTGAAGTTCAATATTCTAACCCGGGCCTTCATTGGTATTTTTCCAACCAAGTGTAAACGTGGAGAAAAAGGCTGAAGCAAAATATTTGGGTAGTGAGCACCTTGGTTTCAGGTGCAAGTGCGTGTGAACGCTGGGTATCAGGCATAATATAATAATAATAAATGCATATTCATAGTGCGCCTATTCCACATCCTGGGGCATGCTCAAAGCGCCATGTACAGATAATTTACAAGAGAGCATTTACATCCGAGATTGTAAGTAATAAACTGAGAACAGATTTTAAGTCTGGACTTTAAAAATGTCAATTGTGTCAGAGCTTTTAATATGTGCCTGAATAACACGCGGTCTGCCTTTAGCCTTTAAAATCCCCTCCAAATATGCGCAGTGAAATCAAACATATTTGTATCTTTTGTTTCAGAACATTGTTCACTTCACGGCTGTCCCTACTCTTAACCATGACGTTGCAATATTGTTGTACAATACAAATGTGTTACACCGACTCGCTCGGTTGTGTTCCCATAACGACAGTGGTCAGACTGGCATGACATTTGTAAGGCTTCAGTGCAGTGTTTGTTTACATCACAGAAATATACAAATTCATTTCATGGGGGATTTTAGGGGACGCTCACGGTGAAATGCTCGCTCTTATTTTTCACATAGAATAGGAAAGCCACCATTTTGGTTTCTCTACGATTGATTTTAGCTATCCTAAGTTGGTCATGAGCAACTTAGACTTTGAATCTTAACTTTACGATTGACTTAGGTAAGATTGGTTAGTGGAACGGTATGCCGATCGTAACGTCACGCTAAGATTGGGATTTTATGGGTTTACGATTGGCGTAGGGCTAAGATCGGTTAGTGGAACGGCACCCAGGTCACAAATCGGTGAAGTTAAGCAGCGTCGAGCTCGGAGAGTCCTTGGATGGGTGACCGTGTTTGACAGCTTGACTCCTGAGAGTTTCTAGGACTTGAGTCCTGCCCCACAACGAAGCACATGTGACACATGTGGTCTCACCTTAGGCAAGTGAGTTTGTTCAAAATTGTCTCTGTTCACCCAGCAGGAAAATGGGTACCCGGTGGAAAAAAAGTCATATGACTATAACCTTCTAGCGCCTAACAGGCAGCTTGGGTTATCCGGGGTAATAATGGCCTTGATTGTTAGCGCTATGAGCATACCTAGTGTGGAGTTTGGCGCTATATAAATGGACACATTATTAGGTCTTCAGACGAAAGTCTGGAAGACCTATTGTTATTATCCGAATATTCTTCTTCTTCTTATTATTATTATTTGTACAATTTTTGTGACAGCTCTCCTGACCTAACCGCTTGGTCGATTTTCATGAAACTTTCAGGGATGATAGCCTGTATGCTGAAATTGATACATAGTCGAAAAAATCCAGACTTCCGGCTTCCGGTAAGGGCAGATAACCCAAAATGTCGAAATCTTTACACCTGAATAACTCAAAAACTATAAGAGATAAATTGACCAAATTTTCACTCAATGTAGACAACATCATTCCCCATCGATTCAACTCATAGCTGAAGTTTCGCGGCAGAAGAAATTTTTCGCAATTTTGAAAAAACTGATTTTTTTGCCGATTCCCGCGTTTTGACGGTGCCTGTCTTTAAAAATCTTTTTCTCCAGAACGGCATATAGTACAATCGTGTTCGATACACTGCTGGAAAGCCTACACTCTGGACACCTTAATTTGTTCAAGGCATGTCGATATCTTGAAGAGTTTTGGAGTTATCGCCCTTGGACGTCGGTGAATTTTCTAAGACGCATTTTCATTGGGTTAAGAAAAAGGTCTCAACTCTGCGAAAAATCTATGAATTCCATTTTTCTCAGTAACAACCTCTAGGAAATTGAATGGGAAACATTTTTGCTTCACATCATGGTTATGTAAAAATCAATAATAACGTCACCATTACGACTCAAAGACAACCTTCGCGATTTCGCAAATTTCCGCACCTTTTTGACGGTGCCTGTGTTTAACAATCTTCTGCTCCTGAACGGCAAATAGTACAATAGTGTTCTATATATCGTTTTAAAGCCCACACTCCGGACTACCTAGGTTGTTCAGCGCATGTCGATGTCTTGAATAGTGTCGGAGTTATTGCCCCTGCAAGTTGGTCAATTTTTGGCAAAACGCATTTTTATAGGGTTCACAGCTCTGCGAAAACACAATGGATTTTCTTTTTGAAGGTACCAAACTGTAGACAATGAAATGTAGACCAATGTTGCTTCACATTATGATTATGTAAAAGTCAATAGTTACGCCTCAATTACGCCACAAACAGTGAGGGACATAAGGATATCGCATTTTTTAGCTACAGGAAGTGTCGTAAAACCTAGCAACACTGCCGACGTCCTGGTTTTCCAGTGCCCACAGAAATGGTTCCTTCTTTTACAGGACGTAACTCCGCTGTTTTTAGGTGTATATTCAAAAGAATTAGTGTTCTGGAATTGCCAGGAAGTGATCTCTCCAGCAGTTTGTTTACCAGCCTCACAGTGAGCAGAATACACTTGACTTTTTGACCACAACAAAGTCTGCAACAGTTACTAGTAATGTATCTTATAGTATATGCGTCCTATAAAGAGACTACCACTGCAAAGCGAGGTCCACGTGCAAATACGGGAGACGATGTGAATTTCACCGACAGATGAAATTGACAATGACAAGGAGCTGTCAAATCTTTGCTGAAACGTTATTCAATGCCCAAAGAAATACTTGCCCTTGAATTGGCCTTTACATTACATCGGCATTATCCTACCCATACAGCGCCGAGAACAGTTTGCATTAATAAACACTGCAAATACAGAGTCAGAAATGAGTTTTATTTCAAATTTTTGAATGGGTGTTTAACAAATGCATTCTATATACACACATAAATCTATAGTTGTTTCACAAGTGCAGTATATGCATATACGTCTATGCGTCAGATAGCTCGGATGGTGGTGATTCCAGAACACTAATCGTTTAAACAGTACACCCATGGACAGCGGCCAGTTAAAGATAGAACTATATCTTCTGTGGGAACTACTTAAAAGCTACATGACCCCGGCTGCATTTCACCGATTCGCTCTCGTGTCCAAAATATGTTCTGCCTGCGTTTTGGACGCTTTCTAGCACTTCAATACACTTCAAACACCCGTAACTCCGAGAGTTAAAATGGACGGTCCAGCTGGCGTCAAAAGAAACGGTACAAGTGAAGGTAGCCACGGAGGGGTGTATGGGGAGGTCTGAAGACCGTCAGTATTGCCCAGGAGGCAATCCTAGTTAGGTCTTCAGACGAAAGTCTGGAAGACCTACTGTTATTATCCGAATATTCTTCTTCTTTTTCTTCTTCTTCTTCTTCTTATTATTTGTACAATTTTTGTGACAGCTCTCCTGACCTAACCGCTGGGCCGATTTTCATGAAAC